GGGAGAGAGATAATAGATCTTTGCTTGGAATTTAAGGATATAGATTTGGTAATGTATTGGCTGTGATAGAGTTGCTTAAAATCTACAAGTATCATTCGTAATACGGCTTTCAAATATCATTTTAAAAAGCTAACGTGTATAACGAACTCATTAGTTATTCTCCACGTAAACAGAAAGCTCCTTTAATGCGTCCAGCTACTCTCCCTTTTCAGTGAATGAAAAAACTTCCTCAGAATATCAATTGGACCATCAAAAGACTCATTATTATTGCGCAAATTTTCTAATGTTAACTATTTTGTGTCATAAATATTACCCGTTAACAGAAATTCACATCTAAAAAATTGAGAAGTTAAACAAATTGTAACGACACTCACTAAAGCAATATAATATGGAAATTTAATTTTGGCATTTTTTTTTCCCCGAATAGTAAATACAATTTAAAAAATTTTAAATTAAAAATATTATTTTGCATAGTAAATTTTGATCATTGATATATCTCTAAGTGATTTTCTCCGTCGTGGTCGTTTTTGTGTGTGGGACACCTAAATTTCCAACGAAAGTTTTCTGCCAGGAGAAATCCACCAACACTTTTTCCCCCGCACAATCTTACTTTCTCTCTACTGCCGTAACTGGTAGTGAAAAAAGTAAAAAATGAGAAAGCTCCTTCTTTATGATAATAGTGCTCCCTTCACGTAGACTTCATTGATGAGTTTGAAGACATTTTTAAATGTTTAGAATCCAAACATATCAGTTAAGCGAGGAACAATGGCCTTGCGTCATATGCGTGCATGTCAGCGTTCCTTCTCCTTGTTGTGTTAGATTGTGTGTGCTGTGTGGCTAGTTGTAGTGAGAAGAGAGAGACGAGAAGAGAGAGAGAAGAGAGAGAGACGAGAGAAGGAGCGAGAGGAGAGAGAGAGAGAGAGAGAGAGAGAGAGACAGAGAGGGAGGGGTGCGTTGTGGTGTGTGTGCTGTTGTTCGCGGCCGTTTTTGGAAAAAATATTAACCTCGAAGGCGGCAGACGTTTAAATGCAATGTTTCTATTTACAATTATAATCTCAAAAGAATTGTCAAATATTTGCATGACGTATGGAGCTAAATTAATATAAAGTAAATATGGCCCCCGCACTTACTTAGCACAGCGTCATTAAAAATTACATTGCGATATCGGCGTTCTTTTTTACGAATTTAACAAAAAAAAAAATAATAATTTCTTCTGTTGTAATTGTTTAGTCTACATATACTTGCTACACACACAGCACGAAACTAACACATATTACTATATATTATTATATATATATATATTTATATATATAATATATAATATAATATGTGATGTGGTAGTGATGATGGTTGTGTTGCTGCAAAAGACATAAATTTGAAAAAAATGAAAGTGATCAAAGCAGAAACACATTATAACAGTATATTAAGTATTACTTTTCTTCTTCAACAAATTAATATGTCTTATAATAGTTGCAGGAAAAGCTTGTGGAATGACTACTTTCATTGGTGGGATATGATGTTTGTTACTTACAGAAAGTTGTCATACTATCAGTGCAAACAAAGGTAATGAATTTTATTAATGCGAGGAAAATGATATCTTTATAAATGTAAGTTTGCCATCTTTTATGTATCTTTGTCTCGGTCATATATCAGCAAACATTTTGCCAAAATGGTTATTAAAATCTAGGTGAACTAAGTTTTTGTTTCTGCAGAAATGGTGGACTTACTAGTGGTTATTCGAACACCATTGATCCTCGGCATCTGGTAGACTTTTAAAAATAGTAAGTGTAGAACACATTTGTGAGTTCTGTTGAAGACCATATGATTTTTCTGGATAAGATACAGTATTTAAAATCATAATTATTTTAATTCTCAAAATAAAAGAATATCATCGTTGGGGAAATCAAAAGGATATGCTTTTGAAAAATTATGAACGATTATAAGTATGTACGTATCAGTACTCTAAATTAATATTAATGAAGAAGTGTGAAATGTGTATTGTAATTGAATTTTTTTTGTTAATTCGTAAAAAGAACGCCGGATCGCAATGTATTTTTAATGACGCTGTTGGCATAGGCGGCCAAATTACTTTAAATTTGGCTCCATACGTGGATGGCAAGTATTTTGACAATTCTTTGAGATTATTTCAGAGAAGAAAACATGCATTTTAAACGTCGCGCCTTCGAGGTTAATTTTTCTCCAAAAACCCGCGAACACACGCACACACGCACGCACGCACTCTCTCTCTCTCTCTCTGTCACACACACACACACAAGGAGAAGGAACGCTGACACACGCATATGACTCTTGCATGCATGATTAGTGTCTCTATCTAGTGACTAAAATAAAAAAGAGACGCTCAGGCCATTTTCATCTGCATTTTGAGAACGAACGATTTCACTTGAATTGCAAATGAAAAGAAAGAATTAGAACTGATGTTAATACACATTAAAAATTTTTAAAAATAAATTTTTTGATGTGTTTTGTTTTGTTTTTGTTTGTAGAGGGTCCTCCCTTTTAGGGAATTACTCCTACAAGCGCAACTGGACAACGCAAACTCTACAAGCGCAACAATATTAATGTCCGACGCGGGTTTTGAAACCACAGCCTTTGCGTCCATGCCCTTGGGCTCACCTTCCCCCAAGCCCTTGTTCCCTCGGCTTAACTGACTATTTGGATTCTACGATTAAAATGTCTCAACTCTCGATGAGTTACGTGAAGGGGCACTATTATCTAAAGAGGAGCTTCCATTTTTACTTTTTCACTACCAGTTACGCAGTAGAGAGAAAGTAATGTGCAGGAAAAAGTGGTGGATTTTCGGCAGAAAAACTTTCGTTGGAAATGTAGGTGTCCCACCAAAAACGGACCACGAGAAAAATCCTTAGAGATTAGAAATGGATCAAAATTACATGAAAAATAATTAATTTAATTTTAATTGTAATTTACTATTGAAAATGCCAAAATTAATCATATTTTTACTTTATTCTACAATTTTTATTCTCAATGTTTAGATGTATTTTCTGTTACGCAATTTTCAAATGTTAATTGAAATTTGCGCAACAATGCTACAATTGATATTTGAGAAGTTCATCACTGAAAGGGGAGATAGTGACGGCGATAAAGCGGTTTTATTTACAGTTGAGCTTGTGTTATACGTTAGCATTTTAGAAATGATTTGAAACCTATTTGAGTCACTAATGATTGCTTGTTTTAGCATTTCACCAGCAATACATTACAAATTATAGTC